ATTGCTCTGGAGCATAACACGTGCTCTGGGTGGGAAGCCCTGCTCCAGGTAGGGCTAGTGAGGTACCCGTGGTTTCCAGGGCTGTAGTAGCAGTGATTGTACTGAAAGGAGGATGGGGATGCCGCTCTCAGAGCTTCAGGATCCGCTTGAAAGTCTTCACCAGTGACAGAGACCTCGTTGCGAAATATTTGAGGAGGGTATGCGGCACTGGGGATGCGTACCTGCACGACCAGCACTCCTGTTGAGTGCCAGCTTGCAAAGAGGGAGGAGACAGAAAGTCGTTCTGTCCCACTGGAGTTGGAGACATGCTGCGGTAGTAATTGCTTGAAATCTAGATGTACGATTGTGAGTCTCTTCCTGAACAAAATGCTTCCTGAAATGAATTTAATCCATTTTTAACATTACCTAATCTCAAGAATAATCTGAAGTACTCTAAAATAAATTTAAAAAGACCCTTAAGTAGAGAGTAAATTTAAATTTTAGGTCCTAATTACATTTAAAATTCTGGGGTGAAAACAAGAAATGCTGTCATAACTTACTTAAAATATGCCTACAGCAATGTTACAGAATCAGTGTTACTTCTGTTCTTGATTAATTTATGTAATTATTGAAAGATTAATTCATATGAACTTGTGTGAATTGACCTTGTCCTTGTTTGTATTTTCCACCTGTGTTTTTTTCCTATCTTTAACCTTAGTCTGTTATTGGTGTCAGAGAAAACACGTGTGTAAATGGGAAAGCTCACACCCATTTGAAAAAGCGTTTGTCTAAGGCAGAGCTGTACTACCCTCTGAACAGGTTACTTGGGCAGCTGGGAAGGCAAAAAGCAATTCTTGAAAGGAAAGCTTTGCATTTGGGGACTATGCATGTCTTGGAACAGATGAACGCAGTGAGCCATCTCTTTCCAGTTTGCGTATACTGACATTGCCGCCTGACTGGAGACCAGGCTCGGTCTGGCTCCAGCTGGGAGGGACGGTGGTTCTCTGATGCTGATGTTAAATTCTGTATCGTCGCATATTTCAAAGTGACTTCTATGGGTTTTTTTCAAGATTTGAACTTCATTTTCACCCTCTTAACAAGACTGTCAGTCTGGGGAATTGTGTGCCTTGGACCTACTGCTTTGGTCTCCTCCTTTCACTGCCCCTCCAGCTGCGGTCATGCCTCACCAACTTTCACATGCCCGAGTCACCCCATTTCTGACTTGCCATGCTTGACCCTGTTTTGCCTGGGAACGTGATGTAAAACGTGCGGAGGCTCGGTTGCCTGGTGAAGCGGTGTGCCTTCAATCGGACGACAGGCTGCAGACCTGCCCTTTGGTCCTTGTTTTGCTGAGTTTGCCTGGTATCTCCGATTCGTGCACCACCCTTTGCTCTGGAAAAATTGGCTTTGAGAACAAACTATCGAAACGCACCTCATAACGAAATTAATAGTTGACTCATGCTTATGGACTACCCTTCTTTGTAGTAGAAAGAGGTTAATTAGGCAAGACTTGTTCTATGTGTGTGGCTTTGGAAGGGGCTGGTGGGATGGGAGGTGGGAGCCCTGCTCAGCCCTTCCTTTGGCACCGCGCGACGGGGAGACTACAAAAGGGGGTGCGTTCCCCAGAGAAGGGTGCTGCGGAGGTCATGCCTGTGATGGAGAACCCACAAAGCTGAGCTCCAGGCCGGGGTTTCCTGCAGCTTTCCCACCTCACAAATGCACTTTGGATCAAAATTCAGTAATACCTGTGAAATGACATGGGATCAGCAAATGGAGGTGCTTTGAGAGAGGTGTTTTACTTTTTCAGTGTTTCAGTCAGTCACTGAACACTATAGGTCTGATATAATTAAAAAAAAAAAAAGTTTCACATACGCATTACTTCAGATTTGCGATAGCTGCATTGCCGTTACTAGAAATAAATTTGCCTAAGCCTTTGTCTCCCTGCAGGGGGCTGTTATCACATGGCACCATTCTATTTTTCTGGCCTTATCTCTTAATTAACTAATCTCTAATAATGCTCTTTATTTTTTTTTTTTTTAAATAAGCATTTGTGATCTGTCCCCATTTTACGTTGATTATGGTAAGAGCAATGTTTGGTTTTTTTACAGAACAAACAAGTCAGGTGGAAGTAAGCAACTGTTTTGCTGGGATCCCTTTTTCTTTATATCAGCTTGAAAATCTTCCCTGACCATTAGTTAGGAAGTGCGTGGTGCCTACGAGCCCGATATAGCATTCCCATGCTCTTTGCTAAGCTGCACACATGCATTTGTCTGGTATTATAAAATGTCCAAGCTCATGTAATGCATAGAGGCTAATCTTATCAATTGTATTAAGGCTACTTAGGAATTAATAGCTTTAAGGAAGCTGTTTATATTTCTTCCTTTAAAGTACTTCAGTGAATGTTCTGGGTCCCTTCAAATAAATGTCACCAGTAAAATAGTGCACTTTTTATGATTTCTTTTAAAAAAGAAATTATATTTCTTAAATGTTGACACTTCAAGGCCTTGGGCTGGCTTTCAGATCTGGGTACTTGGATTTAAGCCGGTAATCCATGTGGAGGTACCAAAAAAGAAGTGGCCTGGTTTGGATGAATTAAGCTCACATCCTTCTGAAGTTTATTAGTTTGAAAATCAGGGCACGGCTCTGGAAGTTGTTGGATTGCTGCAGGCAGATTTGACTACGTGACCTTTAGACTTAAATTTAAAATAACAACAATACTTTCTTTCGAATGTCTGTTCCAAGTTAGATTTAAATGTGGAAAAAAGATGTTATAAACCCAGTTTAGCTGATCATCAAAAATCCTGAGGATGCTGGTGGTTTCAGTTGTTGAGCACATCTAGAAGTGAAGGCCTGTGAAGGTGTTTTAATTCTGAAGTACTACAAGAGGATATTATTAAAATGGTCCAGCAAATTCTGTTTCTAGTAAGAGGCAAGTGATTTAGGGGTCTTTTTGCACATCCTAAGCTTAGCTGCCACATGAGAAGAGGAAGATTTGCGTTCTCTCAGAGCATTTTGGGGGGGGGGGGGAAGCTTCCCACCTATAGGAACACATAAAACAGGTCCAAATTAAAGAAATCTGTATTAAATTGTATATATTTAAACATTTTCTTTTAAGAGGTCTTTACTTGCAATATAATTTTTAATACCTAAATTTACATTTGCAGGCAGCAGAGATACCTTTATCTAGAACAGCATTTGCAATGTCACAAGAAAGTATATGTAAGATTGGATGAATGATATATTACATGTAATATTTTACAAAGCAGTCATATTACAATCTTGTAGTAATCATAAGATGTTACAAAGATATTCATTAACCAGGAGGTTTTATTTTAGACAGCATTCTTTACTGTGAGAGTAGGGAGACACTGGGACAGGTTTCCCAGGGAGGTTGTGGATGCCCCATCCCTGGAAGTGTTCACGGCCAGGTTGGATGGGGCTTTGAGCAACGTGGTCTAGTGGAAGGTGTCCCTGCCCATGGCAGGGGGGTTGGAACTAGATAGTCTTTAAGGTCCCTCCCAACCCAACCCATTCTATGATCAGCATATACACTATTCTTATTTGTACAAAACCCTGATTCCAGTACTATTCTTCATAAATCTGTCTCAGATGGTCTCTCTACCTGCCTGATACCATGAGACCCTTGCTCTGGGAACTGGCTTCTCCAGTGTGGCATTGAAAGAATAATTTGACAATTTGTTATGTTACTCTAGCAATAGACTGAAAAAAAAAAGAGACCATAAATAATTGGAGAGTCCTGTCTAAATCAATGGCCTAAACCAGTTTTCTAGGGCAGCAATAAATCTAGATCTCTTTGAAAAATCAGATGTCTAGTCAAGTAACTGGTATAGATCACAGCACACTGAAGCGTCACAAGGAAAAACTGTAATTAATCCTTGTAATGCAGCTCCTATCCATATGTGACTCCTCCGAAAAGCCCTTCTCTGGTATATGTGGCCACATCATGCACCATCCACAATCCTATTCTTCTCTAATGGACGAGCTGAGAGGAGCAGCCAGTCGTAGTGATGTCTTACTGAGAAGGAAGGAGTTGGTTTGGTTTGTACAGTTCTGCCATGCAGAGCGTCCCTCAGCAAAGCAATAGATGATAGGCTGTGGTGAGTAGCAAGTTGGCTTTTATGTTAGTGCCCTTGTTCTAGTCAGTCTTATGCACAAAAGAACAGAGTTGACTTTTTAATTCACTATTGTAAATAAACTTAAAATCTTTGACCAGCTTTGTAAAAGTGAAAGGATGCCACAAAGACCTTTCAAAATCAAACCTTGCGTGCAGATGGCCTGAAAGAGCGTGGCCACCGAGATGTAGACTACGGTTTGATATACGGACATGTCCCTACCTGTCCTGCTGTGAACTGGTCTGTCCATCCTAGAAGGAGTTTGAACAAAAGCCGGAGGAGCTGAGTGCTGCTGGGGCAAGTGCACAAGTGATTAAGAATGAACACTAATGGGCTGTGCAATGATTAGGCAGCTGCAAACATGGCTTTGTTTGAAGGCCAGCCACCAGCCAGGTGGAAGGGACCTGCTGAGAAAACTCTCCCAGGTACAGCACAGAGAAGTAGAGGTTTTGCACAGCCAGGGTAAAAATAAGTGTGGTGTCTGGCTTGTAGCTGAGGGACTGAGAAGTCTGCAGTTGTTTGTGCAAGAGGTTGGGGCTTGCTCTCTCAGGTTTCTTTCCCTTTAGCTGAATTATCTGGCAGCTGCAGATAAACTCAAGATGATGCTCTGTTCCCTTACTAGAGGCCACGCACCACAGCAAACTCTTCCATGTCTTATTCCAACTTTGTATATGAGAACAGGGTCCTCCAGCTATGACAGCATGTTTGGAGAGATGCAGCGGGATATGCAAAATGTGCCTTCCCTTTGACTTAAAAGATATAATGAAGGGTACCCTATCACTGATAAAGAAGAATAAAACTTGTAAAATTTGCACACTGGGGACTGATTTAAACTTACTTTTCCTTGGCCTCAAAGTTTTGAGGCTTGACATACTTGCGGCTGAATGGTTTCCATTTGCTAGAACCCTGGAAAACATTTAAAATGTTAGTTCTAAGTAGCCTTTTTGTTTTGGTTTGGTTTTTTCTTGCTTTAAAAATAGTTGGGCTTGAATATTCTGGAGCAAGCTATGAGATTACATACTTTTTAAAATGTCCAGAATAACCATAACTGGCACATGCTCAGAGCATTGATTCCACCCACTACAAGAGGAATCTTCTAAGCTTCTGCTTGTTTAAATACAAGGTGAAACATAAGTCTACAACACACTCATTCAAGATATACAGGCTGAAAAAAACCCTGAGAAACGAAACCCATAAATCTTACCTTAATGTTGTTTTCACGATACTTGTGCTGTTTCATTAAATTACAATTTTTGCTTAGGACATAAATTCTCAGCATAAGTTTGCATTTTGTTCTATGCACATCTTAAGAATACAGCAGAAAATACCATTGCTTAGCACATTAACAAAAATCACATTATATGAGAGGTTTGTCAAAATACCTGTATACTACGTTATATACAATTCTGAAAATCCTTCTTTCTTTGACTTCTAACATGTTACTCCCCAGAAAACCAATCTGTTTGTCTTTAAAAGTTGAAATACATAAAATATGCTGATAACACAACTTGAACAAAAATATTAACTTTTTTAATTCCACTTTTAATTTCAAAATAAGATGGAATGGATCACCGTGTGATGCCAGCAATTCTTTTTTTAATTTTTTTTTTTTTTTTTAACTAACTGTCCTTGATAAGGGAACACGTGAATATTGTAAGTCCTAGTGGGGTCATTTCCCCAAGAAGATACGAATAGGGTGTACTCACATTGTGGATAAGTGTATTATCCCATGGTGCACTATGTTGTATGCTCCCATGTACAAAAAAAAAAAAGCACGCGTAGAAATGTGTATTCTGATGGTTGATACATAGCTTTTAAAATGTAGGTATTCACAACTCTCAGGTTTTTTTATTTCTCTCTGATAAAAAGTCCACATCAGTTAGAAGCTCAGCTGACCGTTGTGATGGCTGGCGTCTTCCCACCTTCCTCTCCTTCAGCCCCTTCGGCATCTGCTTCCACCTGATTGAACTTACCAATCTTTTTCAAACTCTCCAGCGCAGACTTCAAAGTGTCCTTCAGGTTGTTCTCCAGGACCCACCCTTCGCTTTCACATTCAGGGTCTTCGGGATTTGCAATGCTTTCCAGAGAGGTGTGCAGAAGACGCAAGCCAACCATCACGGACATCTGTGCCATGCAATGGAAAAGACAGGCAAAGTCAGGCAAACCTTTATACCCTTGCCCGCATCTTCACCGTCCTCCGCTACCAGCAGCCTGGGCTGGCAGCGTGGACAAAATGCCAAAGGCACGAAGCAGATACAGCTTAAGGGCTGCGGGAATCTTCTACGTGAGAGGAGCTCCGGAGCAGCCTTCCCCCTTGAGATGGCCAGGAGGGGTGAGGGGGAGCCGGCAGGAGGAAAATGTCCCTTCACAGGTAGGAAAGGAAAGGGTGGAGGTCTGAAATCAGTGAGCGCCAGGGGAAGCATGACCGCCGACAAGCGATGAGCGGGTGCATCAGCTGACGAGGGAAGTACGTGCTGGCTGCTGCGGAACAGCAGCTTTCGGTGGCCCTGTGCACCGGGGGGCTTTCCACGTACCCCGTCACAGGGTCGGCATCTCCTGGGAGATTTTAATGAGAACTCTGCTCCTGTGCACTGCATGTCCATAAAGCTGTTTATGTGTGCAACAACATCCTCCGCCACTATGCACTTAGTTTTAACTCTAAATATTTTTACTTCACATTGACCTTAATATGTTTGGCAAGTATATTAATCTGATCAAGGAAATATTCATGAATCAGCGTCTGTGCAGAGCAGAGCAGCGTTAGGATTTGAGCCATCAGCTTGTCTACTTCAGATTCTGGTTTTGTTTTTATATAGGTATGTGCAAATAAGGAAACCAAGGCACTAGGTGATTTGTGTCTCTCACTGGTTCCATCTAAACCAATTTCTGTTTCTGATAAAATATTTACTAGTCCCAGCAGCTCTGACTGAGACTTTTTCTGATGTATTATGCTGATGTAACACCCCTGACACTAGCAACAACCCAAACCTGCCTCCAGAGAGAAAGACTGGTTTTAGCCAGTCTCCTGCCTTCTAACACCATTCAGAACAATCTGACTTCCATTGTTGTGGTGCTTATGAGGAAAAATTATTGATCTGTGAAGCAGAGAAAGACGGAAAAGGCAGCGCCCAGAAGAGCCAGCTTCATGAGGTGGTAGAGCAGGTGGTGAGGATGGGGCAGCAGTTAGATTAGTTTACTTTTGCATGTGCTAGGTAAAGCTAAGATCGAGACCACTTATTGTTGTTAATGACCTCATAGGATTTGTTCTTTAAGGGAACTACAATGCCTCTGTTATCCTATCCAAATTCCCAAGGAGGTGATTACCTCTGGTCCTCCTAAACCCTAATGGCTGAAGAGATCAGCACCCCTGGGTGTTGCTTATCTGGCGGCACAGCTGAGGACCATGGCAAGCTGCCCTGGACCTGCAAGGTGCTTCTCCCTGCTGAGGCTTTTGAACTAGAAGTGGAGGAAGCTTGCAGACTGTCATGCAGGATTACAGCATCGAGTAGCTGGGCAGATTTGAGGTTGGGATTCAGCCATGTAGTGTGGCCGATGGCAAAATTCACATCTGGCTTTTGGACCCATGGGACTGCTCAAGCATGTGTTTCTGTGGACCATTCATTAGCCTATCTACGCTGATCATGCTGCTTGTGTATGATCAGTGTCTCCAAACTCTTGGAAGACTAAAACTACCATTGATTACTCTTGAAATTTTCAGATGTTCATGTTTCTCTGCTTTCACTCAAGACCAGAAAGGGAAAAACATTGGTCAAACAAACAAGCTTCATCAAATACTTCCATATCCAAAGGCAAATTTTCATCCTGTTTAACATAGGAATGCATGACTCGCAACACCTTGGTCCCCAAAGAAGTTTCTGCTGGCCCTGAATCTGGAAATATTTTTCCAGTCTCATTTTGTTGTAGATCTACTCAATACTACAATGACTTAAATCAGTTGAAACACTATTCTATAAAAGTCATAAGAAGCGACAAATCGCATCACACTAGTCTTGAGATTTAAAGCCTTTGACATCTTCCTTTCAATCTGAGCCCCAGTTTTGCTGCTTTCAGACTTGGGACTAGTATCTTTCATGGTTGTTGCAAGTAAAGATTGATAGGGCTGGATGCAAAGATGGCCTCCACTTTGTTCTCTGCTTGTGCTACCTCACTGCATGTCAGCAGAAGCCTTTTTTTGTGACTGACTTACTAAGTCCCACTATTTGACAGCAAAATTAGCTGTACTTACAAGCTTCCTGGATGGCTCTAAGTCACTAAATATGATTGTGCTTTAAAAAAAGAAGGTGCTTGTGCAGAAGGGAGCAGCTGACCTGCTCTCGGATGAGATTCTGTGACATTTTCTCTCAGTTTAAGACTTCATTTTCTTAAAAATCTTGCTCAGAAAGATTTCGGGTCCCAAGGGTTGTTGAGATTTCCTAAAAGCAGCGCAAAAAATTCGGGCTCTCATCACCTCCACTGACCTGAGCCTGCCTTCTCTGCCGGATAAGAGAGTCCAGGAAGTTGGAGAAAACTATCTGGTAGATTAGTCTATCATCTCCTACATTATAGCATAGAGCCTTGGACCATCAGTTTTGCTGAAGTCCTGCACCAGGGAAGGAACAACCCCATGCACCTGTATATGCTGGGGGTGACTGGCTGAAAGCAGCTTGACAGTAAAGGGCCTTGGGGTCCTGGTGGACACCGAGTTGAACATGAGCCAGTGATGTGCCCTTGCGGCAAAGAAGGGGAAGGGTATCCTGGGCTGCGTTAAACACGGTATTGCCAGCAGGTCGAGGGAGGTGATCCTTCCCCTCTGCTCAGCACTGGTGAAGCCACAGCTGGAGTCCTGTGTCCAGTTCTGGGCTCCTCGGTACAAGAGAGATGTGGACGTACTGGAGGGAGTCCAGTAAAGGGCCACTGAGATGATGAAGGGACAGGAGCACCTCTTCTGGGTGAAGAGGCTGAAAGAGCTGGGAACGTTCAGCTTGGAGAAAAGAAGGCTCAGGGGGGAATCTCATCAATGGTACAAATACTTGAAGGGAGGGTGCAAAGAAGATGGAGCCAGGCTCTTTTCAGTGGTGCCCAATGCCAGGACAAGAGGCAATGGGCACAAATCAAAGTGCAGGAGCTTCTCTTTGAATATCAGGAAACACTTTTTCACTGTGAGGGTGATTGAGCACTGGCACAGGTTGCCCAGAGAGGTGTTGGAGTCTCCCTTCTTGGAGATATTCAAAAGCCATCTGGACATGGTCCTGGGCAACCAGCTCCAGGTGGCCCTGCTTGAGCAGGGGGTTGTGGACGAGATGGCCTCCGGAGTCCCTTCCAACCTCAACCAGTCTGTGACTCTGAGTTGTAGACCTGTGCTTAAACACAATCCAGCAGAGAAGGCCTGGGCGTCAGGGTCCCAAAGGTAGCCCAGTCTTGCCAAGTGATGATTTCCCCTGGCCAACAGACAAAATGTCATGAAAACTTTTGTCATTTTACAGCAACTTTAAAGTAGTAGGAAGAACAAGGCCGCAGTGTTTCTCCAGGACTAGGTGTGGGCAGGCTGGGCTGGTGTATCCCCCTGCACCACAGCATGCTCGGCCCCTCGGTCTGTGCCAGCAGAGCAAACTCTGTCCTTCTGGAGGGTCCCTGCTGCCTGTGGGCTGGTTTTGAAGATTACCGGGAGTTCACTCCCAGCATTCAAGGTGTCAGAGAGTCTACTCTCCAGTGCACGATGTGCAATGTACCTCCCGCTCATGTCTCATCGGTCTCTTGGGTTCCCACCTCCTGGCGCTCAGTGCTGGGCTCCCTCTGGGGCACCACATGTGAGATGAATCTCAGGGTCTTGGCCGTTGCAATAGCTGTGGCCTATCAAGAGCCACGTGTTTATACAGGTGAAGGACCTGGAGCATCTCAGGAACTGGCTAGTACCCTCCTTTCCTTTTGAAATGCTCTATTCAGGGCACCCTTGAACCCCCCATTTCCTCTTTGCTGGCTGAGGCAGGTCAAGAAGACAGCTAGGCTTGCTCTGCTTGACCTTCTGCAGCGAAGCCCATCTGTTTGCCAGGGTTTAGCCTGAGGCGGCTTAGCTAGAGCAGGGTGTGATCTTCTTTTGTCACTCTCATGACCGGTTGTCACTCATGGGAAGCCTACAGCTTTTGCTAGTAAAAGCAGCATGTGGATAATAATGTATTTCCAGAAAATATGACACACTACATTTTTTTTCAAATAGAAGTTCTGATACTTCAAAATAGGTTCATTCTTCCTTGCACCTAATATAGAAACGTTAAACCTAAATGGCCTTCCCTGAGGTCCCTATGCCCATTTGACAAGTTCCGTTTTTCTACAGCTCAAAGTAACAGCTGCGGTTAGTGTTTCCCTCCATGCTCTGTCCCCCTTCTCACACCTCAATACCACCAGCCCAGCTGGAGGAGTCCTCCGGTGGCCCCCAGAAGGGCTTTGCTGGGGAGGTGCTGTGGCCATGAGTTCACAGCGGCTCCAGGCGCAAAGCAAACCAGGACACTCCTTTGCTTTTGCACTTCTCTCTAACTTCTCAGCAAGCCAGTCAAAGGGAAAATGAGAAGCATGGAGCCAGCATGTTTTGCTGGGTTTCACCCTGGTCAGACTGACATCTTACCTTGGCCGGGAGTCAGGACCTCTGCTGCGCTCCTACGCAGTATAAAACTGTTTCCTACCCGGACTGGAATTTAAAGAAAGTGGTTATATTTCAAGGGGAACTAAATTAATGTCTGCTTCCTGCTTTGCTTCCTCCTTTCAGAGTTTGCCTTAAAAGCAGAGGGAGTTTGAGACCCAAATCTGGACCCTTTATAGTAGAATATCAAGCAAGTCATAAATATTCAGAAGGACAAATTAATATAACCCAGGATTTTGCTATTTCTTTAAAGCTTTACCCCAAGAGTCGTCTGATTGCCCGAAAAAAAATCTCACCTTCTATTTTGAAAAAGGTAAAGGAAAAAAGAGAAGATAGTATTTCTCATTATGCCACAGGTTGAAAAACATGCCCAGGTGTACTTTGACGAGTTAGAAATAAAATATGGCATTTTTATCCCTGCTATTAATGTTAAAGCATCACTGTCGTTAATCTCCTGCAAGTCAGCAGAGGTGTGTTACAGGTTTCTAGCCATGATTTTTCACAGCTGGCATTAGTATTTCTGTGCATATTTCCCCCAAGTTTTTAAATTTCCTTCTGATTTTCATACACAGCTGAAATTGCCTTCCCCTCGAGAACTCTTCATTTGAATCTGGGCTGAGACATGAGCTTCTCTTTCTTTTCTTACCAGAACAACAGCACTACAAGGACGTAGTATGTTTCTCAGCCGTGCGGAGTAGTTGTTTTTAAAATAAAACAACATGAAGTAACTTTATGATATTTTTTTCAGTTCACAGATTATTTGGGTAGGTGTTTATTTTCTAAAAAGCATCTTCATTCCTGGAAGAGTGTAGGCCAGTCCTTGTATCAAAATATAATGCATATTTTTTTTAATTTGCATTTATCTATCTAAATATTTAAAAAGCTGGCTGAATCACTTAAAATAGGCCATGTCATTTGCAGCAGCCATTTCAAGGGTTAGAAAGGGTCTGCTGCACTCCATGTCGCATAGTGAGCTGCACCCTCCCCGTTTGCCATCTGGTCCTGCCCTACCTCCTCACCCAGCACCTCACACGCCAGCCCTCGTGCCACTGCCAGCCCACGCTCCCTGCGTATTAGTATTGGTTAAATACCCTGGCTAGAAAACTGGTCATCTCCCAGAGGCAGAAGGATGTGTTTTCCTCACATCGAATGAACAGTATTTTAGCAGCAAAGCTGCACGTCGGGTTATGGTGCCTGCAAACATCTGCACTGGGCAGTATTGGCACCTGTTTGCATATGCACAGCGGTTTCGGGAAGCAGAATGAAATAAAATTAATCCATCTGCTTCACCTAAACCACTTCTTGTGACCAAAATCACTGGCAGAGCTGATGAAGGACCTTAAACCAAATGCTGCCCTGAAGCTGGACACTGCGCATGGCTCTAGGTCTTATTTTCATCAGCACATAAACCCCTTAATTGCACTTTCTGTCCCACAAATTACTGCCGTCTCTTTCCGATGTGCTGCTTTGTGTACTCTTCATGCCCCACTAATGGTGAAACATGTAAAATTAATGCATTTTGGCAGCTGAGCCCTCACACGCTCTTCCCTGCTCAGCACCCTGCATTTGGCAGAAAATCAGTCCCTTTTTCCCTCTTGCTGTGGGATACGCAAGGCTCTGGCCCCTTGCTCTGAAGGGAGTGTCTGTAATCCATCCCCCATCCCATGCTTCCCAGCTGTGTCTCCAGCCTGGGACCTCTCGGGCCTTACGCAGATGTTCACTATTAGATGTTTTCTCAGCCAAAGAACAGCGGCAGATGATTTATTTTAAACAGATCTCGTCTTTAACTCGAAAGTCCACGCTGAAAAACGCTCTGCCCCTCTGGAGCCGGCGCTTCAGCAAAGCGGGGCAGAGGGGAAAGGGTTACCTCAAAAAGCCAGACGAGGAGGACGACGGCACCCATGGAGCTCATCATGCTGCTGTAGTAGTGCAGGAGGGCTTCCCGGCAGCCACGGCGCCAGAGGTTGAGCTCCTCCGTTTGGTAGTCGTAGCTGTAGTGGGCTGAGTTGTTGGTGACCTGGTACTGGATGCAGGGTCTCGGGGAGCTGGGGTTGCAGCAGCTGAAAGGGACGCCGTCCACCAAGTACCTTCCGTCCACGTTGCTTTTGATCCGACTATGGGCAAGGGCAGAAGGAAGCGTGAATACACACATACACACACACGCACAAGATATATACTGGAGCAGACCTGCACACGAGAGGAAAGCAAAGGCAACGTGGATTTTCCACCATGCCTCCTGGCCATGCTGTTTCTCTGCATCCCCTGTTCATATAGCAGCGATTGTGCTGGGTGTTTTTCCTCTCTGAAATCCTTTTCTATGTCAAGGCTACACTGAGTCTATAATTAACTATTCATGATGGAAACACGCCCTCTCAGGTCACTTCTTCAGAGAAATTAATTTTTAAGAAAAGTAAAGGGGAGAGAGAAATATCAGAAGGGAAATATCAGTCTGGAAAGAGTGATCACAGCACAGTTAGGGTGGAAGGGAGATGCTGGAGGTGACCTGAGCTTGGGACCTTTTCCTTGGAAAAGGACCCACAATAGCCTTAGGACCCACCATATCCAGCTAGACCATTGATCCAGCAAACCTAATAGCTTCTCTTTGATGATAATAGCTTCAGGAAGGGGTTATGCATTTATTCTTGGCTTGGGAAGGTAGCCAGTATTTAAAACATGAAATGTGCTTCAGCAACAGGATGTCCTTGCAGGAGCTCCCCAACTATTGTTCATTTGAGACTGTGGTTGCTCTCCATAAACAGCGATTTAGTCTGGTGCCTTATGAGATGTTTAGATGAGAGATACTTAGAAGGCAAATAGTTCCAGTGGCACTGCAAAAAAAAGACTATGATAAAAGGACTGCAACTCTAACAAATGCCATTTTGCTTAGAAAATGACAGAATGGAGAGCCCCAGTGATCTAGAAAGGTGAAAAAAATCTGAGAGTTGCTGGTAGCTTTCTATACGGATATATTAAAGTTGTGTCATAGAGAGAAAGGTGATCGCAACAGCCTGGTGAAGCAAAATTCCACTTTGCAGTCCCGACCTAAATATATCTAAACACCAAATGCAGTTGAGGTTTTATCTCTAGATGTAAAGTGTGCTCTGAGTTGGGTCTAATTGCTATTGATGTGTAAATGCTCCACCAGTTTCAGAGAGACTGGATCAGGCCTTTGTTCCGCAAATAATATAAAAATCTCAGTGTCGGGGGCGGACGCCCACCTTCCCTGGAATTAAGGAGAACTTTGCTATTGACTTCAAAAGGGGCCAGAATATCCCACTAGGAATGTAAGCAGAGATTGTGCACCACCACGTAGTTCAAACCTTGAATTCACTCATTAACGTCCATTTGTGGATTTTTAATGCCCTATTTCCTGCCTCAGTAGTACAAAGAAATTGCCCTGATTCTCAGTCCCAAACAAGACATCATTTATTAAGGACAATATAACCTTGTTTTCCCTCTGTGCTTTGCCCTTCCACTGCTGCTGGATTAAGTTACGGCTCTCAAATCTCCATATAATGCTGGCAAGGTGAACTTACTATGTTTTCAAGTAGTTATTTATATCATGGGCATACCTTTACTATGCAAATACTCCCTTACTAAATAGTGAATGTATTTCTTATAACCCCGCAGCGCAATAGGTTAAGCCTGTAATAGTTTTCACTATAAAGTCCTAATACAGAATTGCAAAAACAACCAGACCACCCAACAAGTCAAAACAATATGCAGAGAGACACACAAGTGAAATACCGTTTACAGAGTCAGGCAGGGATCCCAAGAGATACACAAAGTTTTTTTCAAAACTATTTCAGACATTTTTAACATAGGCAGCATATTTAAAAGGCAGATTGCTTCCAGTTTACCAGACCTTTTGTGCAACCACAAAGTATGAACGTTAACGAATTATGTTTCCAAAGAACTCTGAATAACGATCTCTTCCTCCAGTGCTTAATTTTTTAACATGTTGTGGGTATTTATGCTCAATGCTCATTTTTTCATTTCAAAAGTTCATTTGTTCTCATGTTTATTTTTTACTTGTGCTTACTGCACCTAACCTGATTTTGAGATTACTGCCTCTTTGGGCACTGACATCAGAGCCATTAAGGTGTTTCTGGTCAACGAGCTGTTCTGGTTTGTATAGAGGAAACTTGTGCTGTTTTCATGTGAGGTTTAAAAAAAATTAGGCATGAGTATATCTACTGAACATGTTTTTATACAGGAGAAAACTTAAAATGCATTTGGCTACAAAGGACACTGTAAAGCTAGGAACGCCAACAGGTGTTGACGCTCAATATTGTCACAGTGCTGAAGCAAGCCACTGAGTGAATATACAAATAAAATTCTAAATCTTAAGGATCTAAAACACATAAGTTATTGGTGAAGTGTTATTGTTTCTATTTGTTTCCATGAGACTGATTAATTGCCAATATCTAAAGTGGAATTTTAAAAGTGCTATCAACAGTATATATCTAGGGAAGTCTTTTTTTAGGAACTTAACAAGTCGCATTGAAATCTGCTTTAGGAATAGTGATGTTCTAATACTTTCCTGTTGATTTTGGGAATAGGTATGTGTGGCTCAATGTAATGGGTTTATAGAGAGGTGAAAGACAGTAAAAAATATTATTTTAAGTCTGTTTACATCGCATTGAGTAAGAGTGAGAATTGTATTTTGGTGCTTTATATTTTATGTCCTGTATAACATTAGAAGAATTTTTCAGGGGAGGAAGCAATCTAGCTGATCGTTTGGGATGCTTATTAAGCAAGAGCAGAGAAAAAATTTGTTTTATACAAAACCCCCTCCAGTCAGTGCCTGTTGGGATGTACATTTCTTTAGTATAATACTGATCAAATAACGATACTATGCGATACAAACCCCACTAATTCACTTACTCTTTCACTTCTTTGGAGCTGAAGTCCAGGTATCTGTTGCTGATCCACTGAATTTCGAACCAATCTTTGAAGCCGTTGTTGCCACAGCATTTGAACTCAATTTGGAGCATGTCGATGGTCTTCTTCATGAAGCATCTTCCGGGGGTGTCTGTGTCCCTGTAGAACTTCATGCCATTCTTGAGGCCCTGGGCCAGCGTGCTGTCCAGAGAGCCCCGCATGAGAAAACAAATCAGAGCAACAAAGAAAATGAGTATGTTAAAGAGGAGACATAGTGCCAGGTAAGGTTTCAGGAAAGGCTTCCACTTGGCAAATTTAGCAGGATCCAGAGAATCATAACAAATTTTGCCAGCAAACCCATTGAAGGCGCAGGATAATATACCCATCAATATCAAAGAATTGGGCACAAAGTGGCTTTCAGAATTGTCCATCACTTCGCTTCGCTTCCGGAGTTCAATTTTGAGGAACAATCCCATGCTAAAAACAATGATTCCAGCAAACACTGAAAACCAGTTCATGAGCCATAGTCCCTGCGCTAGTTTTACCCGTTTCTTCTGATTGAATTTGACTTTCAGCAGTGCCATCTTTGTAATGTGAGATGTTGGAAGACTTCGCAGCCTGGACCCCTCTTCTTGGCGTAAGCGACTCGAGGAAGAACCATTCAGGCGTTGGAAGAGACCCCGAACGGCACGACGGGAAGCGAGCCACTGAACGGTCCTTCCATCTTGAGCTCCCCCAGTTAGGATTCAAGCAAGTAAAATGTTCAAAGATCCCAATTAACAATTTCACATTAGTGAGAATAATGGGCAATTAGCACCTACAACTATTTCTGGTGGTTCCTTCCAAGCAAAGGAGAAACAGTCTCAAGGTTTCAAATGGTTTGATCTGGATCTGCAAGACGTCATTCTAATACCTTTAATCATTTGATCCAATTTGGAGAAATGTCTGTCAACAGATGAGTGGAAATAATCCCTCGTTTTACTATTTAGTAGATTTGTGCTTTCTTATGATAGGCTGCTGAGCAGAATATGAAAAGACAGAGATGCAAAGAGATCTTTGTTGCCAGAAGAATATGGATCCTTTGAGGAAAAAGGAAGAGGGCCCCAAGTTTAATCTTTAATCTTAAAGGCTTGCTTGAATGCATAGATATACTTCCCCTACATGATCCTGATTTATTCATACCTACAGCCAAAACCACCTTTCTAGTCCTTATCCTTCTGTGTTGACCCGAGATGACACCCTGTGGCTTATGTGTTCTGGAAGCAGATAAGCGTGTAGTTTACAGTGACCTAAAAAACCTAAGCTTGGCATTTTCTATTTACTTCCAGGGTTTGTACCATCTCCAGGCCTTGGCAGGAGGGAAGGAGAAAGGAAAAGTTCAGAGAAACTCAATAAATAAACCCCGGGCTGAAATCTAGAGATGCTTTTATAAAAAGCGAGCTGACGTGAGCAGCTTATTGGATAATCACCAGGCCAGGGAGGGGAGCAGGGCTGCCCAAGGAGTCCCGGGAGCTTACACCAGGGAGGAATTTCACCCAGCAGCTGGGGAGCGACCCTCCGGCCGTTGTCACTAGCCGCTGCAAGGGAGGCACCCCCGGGGTCTGCCGAGGGACCTGCTGCCTGGCTCGGCTTTCACGCTGTAGCGGGCAGAAACGGAGGGATGCAACCCCCTCCTTCGGCGGGGGCCTTCCTCCTTACCCCGCACAGCCATTTCAGGCAAGCGCGGCCGCTGGGCTTTGGCTCTTTCCAGCGCTTTAGGAGCTTTGCTCACTTCGAAATATCACCTCCTGCCCCCCTCACCCCGCAGAGGTTCAGAGCAACTGAGGAAGTCCTGCGCCGCCTCACCACCCGCCGCAGCCACGCAAAATGAGCCTCAGGCAACCTCAAGCAAAGCAAAATGAACCTGCAGGTGTGTGAGGGCGTGGGTGAGAAAGGAGCCGCCCCAGGAGAAGGACCGGGAGGCTTTGCCCCCACCCAAGCCACCCTGACCTGCTGCTGCCAGAGTGCCCTGGGGGCATCCTCTAGTGGCTGCCAGCAGCATGGCGCACCAACCCCGAAGGAAAGGTGGAGGGACCTGCCCAGGAAGAAGGCCAGTGTGAAAAATAATGAGAATTAAAAAAAAAACAACAAAAGCAGTGAAAAATAGCAATTCGGTAGTCTGCTGCTGTGGATGCTGCTCGCTTACTGTTTGAGATCCTGGGATGCCAGAGGTCTCTTCAGTAAGGACAGAGGCTATCAAGCTGCTTCTTTTTCCTGTCCTAATAGAGGGGTTTTGCCACAGACCTGTCCTGGCCCATCCGGGTGCTATCACAGTGACCTGGAGAGCAGCTGGTAACTGGGATTTTCCTAAAGCAGGCCTGCTTATTCACATTGCTGCTGCCCTTGCAGGTGAAGGGCAAGTCTGCAAGAGGAAAGGAGGAAGGCAATTCTCCATCAGGGGCTATTCTCTCTGCTTGCCATGAAGTGGATGAAAAGTGCTGTTTCTCAGAAGAGCCGGTTAAATATTTTTGTGCAATAAGCCATAGCACTGAAATAACACCTCTCCTGGCTTCTTGGCAAGATATCCCCTAACCATGCAGCACACGTTACTACATTTCACTGACTCCTCCAGGGCTCAGCTAGGAAATACAAGGCAGTTTGGAGGGTGTATTATTCTGACAGCCTGAAGTTAATTCTAGATAAATTAACCTGAAAGTATTTCCTTTCTTGTCAGCAATGACAGAGTGAAACTCTAGTTAAAGTGAAAAAGAATTTTCTATCAGGTCTGTGGATGACGAGGACATACAGTGAAATATGTTCTGCTGTGCAATTAATAGGACAAGAAATAGTAAATCTGCTCATAGCAGTTGTAAGCCTGGTGCTGCTCTGGATATTGGGAAGCTTATATTCAGGAGCACAGATGATGGTCTGAATACTCATTACTTTAATTAACATTCAGATGTCTGCAATAAATCTGATGCAGCAAACCCATGTCATTGTATACACTGGAGTGTTTCCTGTTAATTCAGGAATAAAAATAGTGAAATAGAACATGCAGCATATGCTTCAGGGCTCACTGATCCACTCCTCTCCTTAAATGAAGTTAACAGGCAGGGTCCTAATAAACCACTCCTAAATACTTAACGCTTTCTGGAGATGATCAGTGATTCACCTGATGTTCAGGAAGGGACACTCAGGTACTAATTAGACCATCAAGACTTCAGGTAATACCTTGAAAGTCATCACAGAGAGCAATCAACACACCCAAAACAACCCAGATTTGGAAATTTGCTGTGTGTATTTAAATAGTTTCAACAGTTCACTACCAGCTGGGGACTCTGAGTGGCAAAAACTACCCACCTATCAAGTCAACTCACCATGCTTGGAAACTTTAAAGGGCATTGGTGACATTAAATCATATTTTATACTCTGCTGCTTCCTTCAAAAAATGAAGTTAACACTTTTAAAAGCGGGGAGTTAAGGCTTCCAGCTTATCCCAGACACAGAACTGATGAGCCCTGTGCAAGCTTCAGCACCAACTGATCAGCTGAGGGCTGTCACAAGCAGAGTAACCTAAGGAAGAGGAAGGTTATGGGGGAATCATCGAGAAGTGTTTTGGGGTGTGGACAGCATGAAAAAGAAAACTGGTTTTGCCTGGCATCTGCTTTTCTTACAAATCTTCATCTTGGCAGGTAATCGCCTTTAATTGGGCAGACTTACTACCACTTTCTAATTCAAATAGAAAATATTGAAACTGATCCATAGCAGACAAAAGCTAATTGCAGCAAGGATGTTTGAGTTAATAGTCTCCTCAGAGGTTGCATATTAACTCAAATGTATAATTCATATGCCATTTTGGAGGAAAAAATAGTAGAATAAAATATTCAGATGATTATTGATCTGCTAGAACTCAGCATGAATGTGTTCAAATTCAAAATATTGTTAAAAAACTATAATTTCTATGGATAAAAATACAATATTGATACCTTTCCGAAAAACTATGCCTAAATATAAGCCACAAACTTACCAGTTAGTGCTAGGAGGGAGGAAAAAATTGTTTTTAATGCAAACAATTCAATCTGGTATTTGCTATACCGTCTGCTGCCCAGTCCTGGACCAACCATGCTCCTTCCATCTTCAGGAATACGAGATATAAAAGGCAAATTCTCTTTAGATAGGTACATCCTGTGTGCCTAAACTACAGAAATGCTCTTAAGTGGTAAAAAAAATAATTTCCTGACCCAAGCTTTCTTTCACACTGCTCTGTGATATGAAACGTGGCTTTCTTGGGTTCTTTTTAATTTTCTTTCCTTAGAAGTGGTTATGTTTCATTGCAAGGATGAAGATGTCTGGTTTTACCTATGATAGGAAGTTATTGTGTAGAGATAAGAGGTTTGGTTTTGCACTTTAGTCTATGCTTTAGCTTGCATTTGTAACGGTGTGGTTTGTACAGGGACGCTCCTGAGGAACAACATGATAAAATGGCTGTACCACATTGTATGATTAACAGGTGGAGAAAAGTCTGATTTAGGACTTTCTTTTTTTTTTTTTTTCCTCCTATGTACACATGTAACTTGGTAGGCTACTGTTTTTGTGGTATGTGAGGTGACTGCAGGTCCTGAGGCTGGAAACAGAGGCAAGTTGCTAAATTCACTGCTGGGGCTGTTGTACACCCTGGGAAGAGCAATTTGACCTGCTGGACCCTGTGGCTCCTAGACTGTGCTGGGGCATACTGTGGGGGCTTTAGCGCAGTTTTGCTCTGGGTAGTTCCCAGCATTTCAGCCATCCTTATTCAGAGTGTGGGTAATGTGTTCAGAAAACACAGTTTTTCTTTGACCCTCCAGATGCTCATTATGAGTATTTATTTGTATTGCTGTGATGCCTAGAGTGTAGTGTTCACTGCTGAAAGAATGAGAGTTATAAATCAATGTTTGTACTTGCAGAAACAGGAAAGAAATATATTGGGAATTGAAAGAAACTTACAAAAGGCTCACAATAGTCGTTACTGCTGGAAAACATCTCAGCACAGCAGATGGATTCTCAAGTAAGTCAGATAAATCAGATCACGATGTGAACGGAAATGCTGAAATCCTGCAAGTTGGACATATTTTTTCTTGCTATTCATATCTTTCCTTGTATGTGATGAAATTGGCTTTTTAGTACAGTACAGGTTATGAGCTCTCTTGTGCAGATCCAACGGCCATATCAGGAAAGCTGTGTAGAAAAAAGGCTGCACTCAAAAGAAGTAGGGAAGGGCCTGATGGAAAGCAGGAGGTAAGGGGGCAGAGCTGAGCAGCCAAAGGATGATGCATAAAGAAGGTAAAGAAATGTACTTGTCTGCATACAGTTCTCAGATCCAACAAGTCTGCCCTCAGATCCCACTCTTACACGCTGGGAGAAATCCACTTGGAAAGACAGAAGTAGAATGTATATGAAGGGGGGAGGGAGAAGGATTGTATGTATTCACAAAAACTCTTCCATTAAAGAATTCCTAAGTATTTTGTAACACCTGAAACAATTTCAGGTAAAGCCACTGAGATTTGATCCTTGTCTACACATAGCTAGTGCCAAAATAGGAAGAAACTTTCAAAAAAACCCTTAATATTAAAAAAAAATAGAATAAATACAAGCTCTCAAAAATATAATGTGTGTGTAAGAAACTGTCTTCGGCATTTATTTCTTACCTGTTTTTTCACACAATTTTGCTAGAGCCCCCACCAGAATCTGTTTAAACGAAACAGGGCTGGATAAAGAGGGTATGCAAATAACTTGGTTTGTTCCTGGTATTCAGAGAAGTGGGTGCTGAAAGAGGGAAATGCCTGGATTCCCGTGGGAACCGAGGGGGTCAGCCCCTCTGGGAACAGGACCTCCAGGTGAAATGGTGGCCTTACTGGAAGCAGAAAGAAGCAAAGCTCTCAGCTGCTTCTCTGGAGGCAAGCTTTGGTCTGTGCCACCTCTCACAGCCTCAACAAATATTACACTCAAAGCTCTCTGTAGTGCTGAGGAATTGTCTCAATTTTCTTCTATGGGTTTCTTATTGTGTATTTTTGCATAAAACTATTTTATTTCATTCACAGACACATAGGAGCTTTAAAAAATTGAGTTACAGTGCTGTGGTGAACTGGGTCTAAAGATTTTGGTAAGACTGCCAGCTGGAGGAGGGCTGTCCGACCAGCCTGTCTTTCAGAAAGGTTTAAACCAGTAGTTTGCTCTTGTGACTCCCTGTGGAAAATGGTTCCGAACAGCTTCAATGCCCTGCACTGTTTTTATAAACTTTCTGCCTTTCTGCCCATTAGCCCTCTATTTAGTGCCAATTTGCACCTAGTTTATGGTGCTGATGTTTATGTTATCCTAATAATGTCTTCACAACCACGTCCCTGCCAGGCATTTGTTTTTCAGCCCCTTCTGATGCCTAGCAAAATTAAATTCTTTAGGGTATGTGTTCTTAAAGAAGTTCTTTGGTTATTCTGGTGGCAACAAGATGCAAACCAGAGCTACAGTTCTTGAGGAGATTTTGTTTGCTTCGGTCTTGCGTTTATGCAGGTTACAAGAATCTAGCCACCGTGCGGGTCACACCGACAAACTGCTGCAGAGAGAGGCGAAGCAGTGCTGATGGTCCTCTTAACTGGGTGGGGAATTACCGTCCCTCAACACGCTCATTCAGTGGGCTCCTTTGAATAGCTTTCTCTCTTGCATCATGTTTTTAGTCCTCCATCTTGCTACTAGGCAAGGTAGCTTGAAACCAGCTTGTTTTCACGGCAGTTCTGACTGCTTTTGCCCTCCCTGTAGCACGACTGCGATGTTACCTGCTACCCACTCAGCCGTGACACCTGCCCAGCGCACAGGCTTGCACAAAGCCTCCCGAACAAAGTACCTCTTCCCCTGTTGGTCTCTGGGGAAAGGGATTTTTGCAAGCTCTCCCTAGCAGGTTAGACAGAAAGCAATCCTGGCTCCTGGCCCAGAAGAGGCTGCCAGGCACTTTCTTTGTGTCAGCATTGCTTATCGCTCCAAGGGAAGAAACCCCAAGCATGTGCTGCGCTCCCTTCTCCAAGCTGCGATTAGCGGAGAGACAAAGCGGCTCTGACCAGGCCGGCATTGCAAGTCTCCTTGACCCAGGAGAACGGCGCGAGCCTGGCCCATCTCCTCAAACCAGCTGCTGCACTAACTCTGCCCAACCTTCCCTCTGAACAGTTCTTAGTTGCAAGCTTCAGAAGGGGAATTCGGGAGCCCAGCCACTCGCTGCTGGCAGCTCAGGGCATGTCATGGCAGGCTCCTTACTCTCTTTGAAGGAGGTTTGCTTCAGTGGGATGGATGAGACGCTCCATCACTGAGTCATCTAGACACCAGACAGCACAAAACTCCTCACTTACTTGTTGAAACCAGACACTCTCAGTAAAACTCTTTCATCACTTCCATACTTGATATGTTTTTGACCTCTTGAACAAAGAGCTTAAGGCTCACCTGCAGACAGGTAGCAATTTTTCTGGTGCCTTGTCAGCTGAGGCAAAAGGTAACTAAAGGAATATGATGAAGCTACAAATACTGTGGACTAGACTTTTAGTCTTTCCATGTTTAGCATTTACTCTGTAAGTAGTTCCAATAAAATAATCTAGACAACTCTGTAGTCTAGACCTGTCAAAGTACCCCCAACATCTTGATTTCCAAAACATTAGTTTGAGTATACGTCAACATAAAAAGAAATTTGTTCCGTCTAAGAAAACAGATGCTAAGAAATGCTAAGAAATTAGTTTAAGAAATAGCTGAGAAATTTTAAATACAGATTATATATAACTATCCTGTAAAACATTTATACACACACACGTATTCCTACCATGCTTTGACATACTTCTGTAAAAAATGGAGTATATAATTCTCAATAGGTTTGAGCTATCACTTTCCACTAGATTTGACTGGAAAAATGGATTTTCAAATGAGTAACTGTACTTTTGGGATAACAGCTAATATTCTCTCACTCACACAGCATTTTACTTTTTTTCCTACCTACAAGGGCTTGCAGAATGCTGGGGTTATAGCACAGGTGAGTAACACAAAACCTGTCTGTTCTGGTCTTGTCAGGAGGAAGTGTTCTGGGACACACAGATGACAGTCTGCTAGTGCTTATACTAATTGTGACTTCCTTTTCCATGTGTATTTTTAATTAAAAAAAATTATAAATAGCATTGTTAAAATAACTAATTAGATGATAGAAATGCTTAGGTGTTTCCCTTTCTTCCAGACCTGAAAAAAGTTACAATTTCTATACTGATAGAGCCTATGAATATGCTGGCAAACCTTTTCTAGCGCATAACTTGTGTTCACATACTACATTATTATTAACATACTTCTGTTTCAAAATAGCTTTGAATTTCTCCTAGTATGTTTCTACATTAGGAAACTAACATTTTAAAAAAGGTGCATGGAAACATGTACAACTGTGTGTGTGTGTATATATGAAGCTACGTATTTAGAACTATAAATTACATCTAAGTATTCACCTAACCAAACTTTTTCAGACTTGCTGTTCTCAAATTGAATTTTCTTGTTTCATGTCATGCTTGAGACCAAGATTCAGTTACCTGTTTTGTATTACTAAGGTAATGATAAATCTTTAAGGGAAACATCTGAAACATCTTCAGCAGCCTCCTCAGAAGTCATGCTCCTGAAGAGTATTACCTAGTAATTTTGGTTTGACAAAAGTTAAGTATTTAAAGGAAACATTAGAACTGGGATGTCAGTAACTGACCTCTGAAAAATGTCACTAAGGAAGCATATTCAGGCTGAAATGGAAGTCTAACTTCCCTTGTTTTGCCCGAATAAACGGAGCATGAGTCAATACTGCACACTACAGACTGACAGCTAATACAGGAATGCACTTACATGCCAGCTTGAAGTGTATTGGGAAGCACATATCTCTGATACCTGCTACAGCTTAGTGGTAGTCTCTCCATTTCTAGATTTGCCAGTGTCCAGCAACACAGTAAGTAAACATAAATGTTTATAGCCTTTGGCTAGCAGAACAAAGGCATTTCTGTAGTTCTTACAGGCTGAACAATTTGCAGTCCCAGGACTAGAGGACACTAAGGGGATTGATTTGTCACTACCAGGATACATGGGGAAGAAAGATTAACAACAAAATCAGGTTCTGTCCCAAGATGGAGATCTTCGGATACTCCAGAGCCTTATCTGATCACACACCTTTAACAACAGATATTATAAATTATCTACTTTAAAGCAAGACCAAGGCTGTTTTATTTAAATCATTTTATGATGCTGACAATGCAAAGAATCATTAGTACAGGGACAACTGAAACAATTCAAAACAAATATCTGAAATGCAAAATCCAATTCAGTCAAAAAGTATATATTAACAGAAGTAAACAAAACTGAAAGTTGTGAAGAATATATAAAAATTCCCTTTTTTCCCCCCTCCCCTTTTAAATTAAATATGTTGAAAAGAACTTAGATAAAAAGTTTCTCTGCTCAAAAGCAGTCAAGTACTCAAGTGGAGTTTCAAGTACTTCTCATAGCAATGATGCAGTTTTTGATGATTTGGCTAGTATCCATTTTCTGTTAGAGGCACATATTATGATGGTAGGGCAGCATAAATATTTTGCAGTTTTAAAATACAACCCTAAGCTGATTCTTAGGCAAGATAAACAATGATTTCTTGCGAAATGTCACAAGTTAAGGAGTGGGTTTAGAAACCTAGAACTACTATGTATACTTTATGTACAGATAGTGGTCACTTCACCACTAACAGGCCATTGTAAAAACACTGTATTCCATAATGCTGCGACTTTTTTTTTTTAAATTTAGCAGGCGTGAAGAAATGGGACTCAAGTTACTGTGCACTTTATGCAAGATAACATGCAATTTTGGAACTGGAATATAGCGCTTTATCTTCCAATTTTACTGACTCCCTCTGTCAACACAGCACTTACTTACACAGTAGCAGGGTGCTATAAATTAAGATCACAGCACCACAGAGCCTACTGACCAGTAGACAGATGAAACAACCAGTAGGATGTAGCTGAACATCTCTCCCCTGATGTTTCAGACTGCAGCAGAGCATTTACCTTGCTTCTGTAATGTTAATCAGCACTCACTGTATGCCCCCAAAAGCACTCTCAACGCATTCATTTTATCCATATCAGGTTAAAACTGTTTACAGAAGGAGCATCCTCTCGCATAATATTTTCAAATTGTGAAGGTTTAGTATTTATATAGCCTCTATAGGTTTGTAAATTCCAAACAATCATTAATATATTAGAAGAGCATTAAATGTTCATTAGGAGACCTTTTTCCTTTAGACTTCTCACCTAAAACCCGGAATAAAGACAACTTACAGATTTCACCCACATCAACAGAACCTGGCTCATAATTATATTGTAGCCTACAATTCACTGCAGTCTGTTACACTCTTCAATTACAAACTCCTTCTTTAAATTAACCTTTTGTTCTCATTACCTCACAGAAGTCCTCTCCTGTACTCCCTGTAAGATACAGTGTACTGTTGTCTGCAACTTGAGAACCACAAAAACATGAAAAGTTTGGTATTTAATCTTTGCATTCCAGTACAGCTTGTACCACTTGCAGCTAATTCAGATTCTGCCTGGGTGAGTGAAAGCAGCACAACAGCTCTTAAGAGGCTCACTGTTGCTTGTGTATTGTTGCCCCTTGCCCCACCTTAATTAGAAAAACTCAGCAATGAGGCACTGCAGCAGCTGGCAAATTCCACAGTGATACATAAAGATTATAGCAGCAACTTGTGTAAGAACAGTAAACTGTATTTGACCGGTATTCTCCCATTAAAGAAATCCAGTCATACATTGCCAATCACAATTTAAATACCGAATGGAATCGTTTAATGGCACATTGGGGGCGAAGTCCCAGAGCCTATGAATCAACGCATTTGCGGCGGGATTTCTCGCTCGGCGCCGAGCTGCCTCTGCAGTCAGTCCCAGCAACTGATTCTTTCCTGCTCGGGGATCAGGCTCCAGTTGGGCGAAGGCTTGTCAGTCGCCAGCCAGTCAAAGTCATCCACCAGGTTCCAGTTGTTCGTGTTTCTGTCCAGCCCAGAAGACTCGAAATCTCGCTCGATGCCAGGGTAGCTCCAGGTGTAGGGGGCGAAGGAGACCGTAGCGCAGTCCTCGATCACGGCTCGGCTGGTCACCTGCACGTAGAAGCGGCTGTCGCGGGTCCGATGGGTGCGGAGCTGCTGGCAGGCCAGCACCAGGAGACAATCGCTGCAGCCGTCCACCAGCGCGGAGGTGGAAACGGGCCCGCAGAGCACGGTGCAGCCCCGGCAGTCCCGCACCCGCAGCGTGTTGGCGTTGCCGCGGAGCCGCACCCGGCAGCCGCGCAGCCCGGCGAGCACCACGTCGCGCTGCAGCAGCTCAGCGGGGCCGAGCTCCAGCTCCTCGCCCT